AATATAATACAATATTTTTAATAATTATAATTATAAAAAGTAACAAAACAACCTTATCAAATTAAATTTATTACTATTTTACTATAAAATAAATGGTAAAATATTTTTTGTGACAATATAATACAATATTTTTAACAATTACAACTACAAAGTACACCGAATTACGTTATCAAATTAAGCTTACTATTATTTTGCTACAAAACAAGTGGTGTTTGCCCTGCGAAGCAGGGGTATTGGTGATTTTTTTTTTTTTTTTTTTTAAAACGAATTACCCATATTGTTTTTCCAAATTAAGGTCGAACTGAGGACTTGGTTGGTTACTATAGATTCAAGGAAAAAAAATTTGGGAAACTCGACCAAAATTTGATACAAAATTTAATTTATATCGAAACACAACTTATAAAAGAGAAAGCAATACATTATATTTGAAATACAATCAGTTATTTTAAAAAAATAAATGATAATATATTCCTAAGCACAACCATAAGACCATCAAATATTCAACAAGGAAAATCCGGAATGTAATTACTTCCGCTCGAAAATTGTAACTTTGTAAGGCTTAATAAAGAAATTCATATGGAAACTACATCTCCAGCTGCCTTTGGCCCTTTCGATAACCAACCTGAATAATGGAAAATTTTCCCATAACTAAGCAAGCCTACTTAATATTGTACCAACCATATGCAATGACAACGTACATATGTCAAAACATTTAACAGTAAAATGAAGTTAGTAGAGAGCCAATCCTGAATTCTGAGTAATGAGAACAAATACACACAGAATAAAAAAACACAGCCAGCAACATGAAAACAACATAGGCTCAATAAAAAGGGGGAAAAATTAGCTCAGCACATAAACAAAGGCTTGAGTGGTTGGAGAAATATGTGGCGATTATAATAACTAATTTCCAAAAATCAAATAGTAAGTATCACTTGGCCAAGGATTCTTTTGTCTGCCATATTGGTTTTGCTAAAATCAAGATCCATACCATAGTAATTCCATCACCACCTTCCAGCTGCTGAAAACGTTAGCAGCTCTTTGGCTGTTGTTTGTAGGAACAGATTCACCGGATGATGTATATGAAAAACAAATTGCCTGTTTGAAATACATAACAAAATATTGTTGAACAAAAGGGGTCAAATAATGTAACACTCTCTCAGGAATTTTAACAAACAATTGGTGAGTGTAATGAACAATAAAGAAAAAACTAAGCAATCTGAGAAGTAAAGATCATAAGATGCTCTGGAGATCTCAAGTAATAATATAATAGAAGAAATATATTTAAGATAATACCAGTTATCAAACAAATGGCTCATAAAATAGTAAAGGTGCCAACAAGCAAAGCTACAAAATAGCAACCACTATGCTAAAAACCAAAACATGTTAAACTACTTTCTAATAACTAGGAAACACAGACACGTACAAGGAAATGACTAAATACTAGGAAAAATCTAAAGACTTATCCAACAAACCCTCCCCTAAACTGAACATTAGCAAATGATCAGTTTAATGGTTGTCCAAAGTATAAACACCAAGCAACTATCTTTGTCTCCTAAATACTGATAACTTGAGAGGCTTTGTAAAAATGTTTGCTATTTGATCTCCAGTCTTGCAATAGATTAAATCAATGATTCCTTCATTTGTGAGATCCCTCAAAAAATGAGATTACACATCCATATGCTTACACCTTCCATGCAAAACAAGATTCTTCAAAAGTTTGATTGTTGAACTGTTATCACAAAAAATAAGCATAGGACCTTCTTGTTTGACATGCAATTCTTCAAGAACTTTCCTCAGCCAAATTACTTAACAAGCACATGTTGTTGCAGCAACAAATTCAGCTTCAGTAGTTGAAAGAGTCACAATTGATTGCTTCCTTGATGTCCATGAAATTGTTATTGTTCCCATGATGAAAACATAACTAGATGTACTCTTTATATCATCAAGATCTCTTGCAAAATCACTATCTGTGAACTCAAACAAATTTGACTTTTCTCCATTTTTATAGAACAAACCATACTCTGTTGTATCTTGTAAGTACCTGAGAATTCTTTTTGCTACCAAGAGATGAACTTCTTTTGGATAGTCCATGTATTTACTAATAAGACTTACAAGATGCATGATATATGGCCTTGTTGTAGTCAAATACATCAAGCTTCCCATAATTTTTTTGTACAAAGTGTTGTTAATTCCCTTCCCCCTAGGATTCTTGACAAGCTTCAAACCTAGTTCAATTGGTGTGCTGATAGGATTATAATTCTTCATTCGTAACCTGTATAAGATGTCTTGAACATACTTCTTCTGAGATATAAACATACCTGCAACAGATTGATTCACCTCTATGCCAAGATAATAATGCATTAATCCAAGATCTAACATCTCAAATTCAGCCATTATAGACTTCTTAAACTTATCAAACATAACCATATCATTTCTAGTGTAGATTAAGTCATCTACATACAAGCAGACAATAAGCATCTTCCCACCTTCTGATTTTATGAAAAGTGTATGTTCATAAGGACATTTTTCAAAACCTTCCTTCAAAAAAATAAGATTCAATATGACATTACGAAGCCCATAGGACTTGTTTTAGTCCATATAATGCCCTTTTTAATTTTTACACTTTATGCTCATTTCCAACCTTAACATTACCAGGGGGTTGATGAATATATACCTCCTCATCCAAGTCTCCATGCAAGAAGGTTGATTTGAAGTCCAATTGATACAGTGGCCATGAATTTTGTGTTGCCAAAGCAATTACCAAGCAAATCGTATCATGCCTTGCAATCGATGCATAAACTTCTTTATAATTGATACCAAATTCTTGCTTGTAACCTTTGGCAACTATGTAGGCTTTGTATTTGTCAATTTTACTATTCTCCTTCAACTTTGTCTTGTAGACCCATTTTACTCCAATAGCCTTTTGCCCTTTTGGAAGTTTAGTTAACTCTTAAGTATTATTTCTTTTAATGGCTGCAATTTCTTCGTCCATTGCCTACTGCCATTTTGATTCTTTGGTAGCCTCTTAAAAAACTGTAAGATCATAGTCGGAAAATAGAGCCAAATGAGTACGTGTGTCCTCAGAATGGTCTATTCCAGTTACCTCATAATCAATCATCCATGCTGGCCTCTTTCTAACACGTTGTGGCCTCTATTCATCCTTTTTGGTTGTTGTTGGAAATTGAGCATCTTCTAGAGCATTTGAAGTGGATGCTGATTGTTACTTACTTGTTTCAAATTGTTGTTGCTCATCCATATCAGGTTGTGGCTGCACATTCTCCTTGGATTATTGTTTTTCTTCGTCATCACCATGATCAAAATTTGCTGAAATATACTTACTAGTACCATTTTTACTCCATGGCCAAATCTGTTCTTCATCAAAAACAACATCCCTGCTGATTACAATTTTTTTGGTGCTTGAATTATAAAGCTTATAGGCTTTTGATTGATCACTAACACTAAGAAAGATGCATTTTTCTCCTTTCTTGTCTAGCTTTTTCCTTTTCTGTCATGGAATATGGGCATAGGCAACACACCAAAAAATTCTAAAATGATCCACTATTGGTTTGCATCCACTCCAAACTTCCTCTAGTGTCATGTCCTTAATAGCAAATGTGGGACTTTTATTCAAAATATGGATGCTCTAGTTGATTGCCTCTGGCTAGAAATTTTTTGGAATGCAACTCCTTGTCAAAGGACTTTGCACCATGTCTAAAATAGCGCGATTCTTCCTCTCACAAACACCATTTTGTTGAGGTGTATAACCTGTTGTAATTTGCCTCTTAATCCCCTAACTGTCATAGAATTTTGCAAAATCATCTTAGCAATATTCTCCTCCATGATCAGTGTGAAGAACTTTGATTGGACTGCTAGATTTTTTCTTAACAAGCACTTTATAGCTTTTAAAAGCTACAAAAGCTTCAAATTTATGCTGCAAAAAATAGACCCAAAATTTTCTACTAAAATCATCAATAAAGGTTATGAAATACC